ACTACTACTACTACTACTACTACTACTACTACTACTACTACTACTACGACCACCACCACCACCACGCCTCCTCCTCCTCCTCCTCCTCCTCCTCCTGCTCCTGCTCCTGCTACTGCTACTGCTACTGCTCCTGCTACTGCTACTGCTACTGCTACTACCACTACTAGTCGTAGTAGTGGTAGTAGTCGTAGTAGTGGTAGCAGTAGCAGTAGTAGCAGTAGCAGTAGTAGTAGTAGCAGCAGCAGCAGTAGTAGAAATTAGAGGCGGTGGCAGTGGCAGTATAGTAACATTAATTTGTGGAAGGGCGGTCGCAAAAACAAGCAAGTGGACCGCGAGCGAAAACGAGTGAGATTTCGCGCACGGAAACGAGGAAACGCCGGAGGAAGAGGCCGAGGAGCAACACGAAGAAGACCACTGGACAGAGCGGAACAGGACTCATGATTCATGATGACCAGAACAGGGCAGGAGACCAAATGCCAACGAACTAGGGGGCCGGCGGACCAGGAGAACCACTGGACTCTAGAGGAGATCGTGTTTTTGATTCTCTTTTTTTGTGATCCTGTTCCTTCGTTTTTAGATCCTGTTCTTTTTCCTTCTACATGCCGAACTGGTCAACCAGGCACAAAACTCCCCACAGGAGAAGCGGCCTGCAGTGAGTCTCTGGAGCATCACGTTGGTCCAAGGAATGCTTGGCGTAATATCATGTGAAAGAGGGCATCCATCCCGTCAGTTTCCTCTTCTCCACCTCGCGACCAATTTGTTTGGTTTCAATCGGCACCGAAAATTAGAGAGCTGAAGTGAAGTTCGCCCCGTGCGCAGAATACGAATGCGGCTGGCTCGATCACAACAATGAAAGTACACAATGGGAAGGGCACGTTGCCTAGAACCTAGTGGCCAAAATGACTTCAGATCAGCGCAGGGTTTTGTATCTGATTTGCTTTGAATGCAAAGAATCAATATTGATGCTCTTTTGCAATGACTTTCAGTGGTGGATTTGCCGTGCCATGTGTCACGTTCTTCAAAAATACTGCTTGCTTTGCCAATGCTGCTGTGTGACATTCATATTTGTTCCCCTCCGCCTCCATGAGAGTTCGGCCAGTCTCTGGACGATACCTAGCGCGCTCCCTCCGTTATTGATAAATCACTGGCAGGCCTCCTCTAGCTGCCCCCAAGGTAGCCTTCTCAGAAGCTATATACCTTTCGTGACAAGTACCATCAGGCCTCAAGTCAGCGATAGCTCAGTTACCCTAAACCGAAGAAACAAGAACAGGACGAGTGGAGCACATCCTTACGCGAACCCTTGTCAAGGCTAGGGCCTTCGGCCATCCAGGTGACCAATGATCGGTCCGCAGCCTGTCCAAACACTTCGCTTAGCCGGTCGCGCGAGTCGCCGAATGATTCATCGATCCTTTGCAAAGAAATGAAGGTTCGAATCTGTTTGTGCCAAGAGAACTTGCTGAAAGAGCCGCACCATCATCATAGAGATAGGTGCTGTAGATCTGATGTACCTGTCGCAATCGTAACGAAACCGCTTGTCATCCAAAAATGCAAGTGTATGCAAGTGTACGCGTGTCTCCCGCGCTAGCAGGTAAGCCTTGAGGCCGATCATCAATGAGGAGAGATCGTCAGCTATCTCAACTCAGGGAAGATTGGCCCATGAATGAAGAAACCCGTGTGAGCAACTTCTCAAAGGCTCAGGTGTCTTAAGTGAAACACACTCAAACTGAACGACCAGATCTGCTCGGAGACATTCACACACGCAATGCGTGGACACGCCACGGACGGCTGTCACCTCAGAACGCAACAACATCAGACCAGTCCACCAGTATGCGCAACATCTATCACCTGAATGCGCCTGTTTGCCCAACACAAACATAAAACTGCAAGATCCGCAAGGACCAGCCAAAGCTGCCCACACGACATGATGATCATTGCTGCACAACACGGTGTCACGCACAAAATGACAGCATGTCATCCCTGGCCATGATGCCACCCCTGGCGTGACATGATGGCGGGCATGACGTGCTCTGGCATGACATGGTGCCACCCCTGGCACAGCGTGATGTCATTCTGGGCATGACATGATGTCATCCCTGGCATGACATGCTGTCCTTCTGGGCATGACATGGTGTCATCCCTGGCATGACACGATGTCTTTCTGGGCATGACATGATGTCATCCCTGGCATGACGCAAAACGAAACGCCGATCTAGAGCAAGCGCCCGCACCAGCACCAACACCAGCACGGCTGCAGCACCCGCAAAACGAAACGCCGATCCAGAGCCAGCGCCTCCACCAGCACCAGCACGGCAAAACAAAACAACACGCCGATCCAGCACCAGCATCAGCACGGCAGCAGCACCGGAAATCACCATTGAGAAGTTGGAACCCCTATAGCCTGCAGCTATCTGGGGAATAAGGAGCCCAGCCCGGGATGTTTGGATAGGTGCTATGATTCGGGGATTGAATCCAATTTGCGTGTGATTCGCCCCTTAATTGTTGTCTTGTAATCTCTTGAAACTTGTGTTTATTGTTCTGGGAAGTAAGCAACTGAACCAAATCAAGGCCGCCTCACGCCATGTGCCAGTAGAACTTGCTTGGCCTTGAATGCACACCCAACATGCAAAATGCCAACCTGCTTGTGATGTTTGATTGCATTGCCCTTTTGGGGGAAGCCGATGGTCTGGGCTCATAATGATCATGACCCCCCGTCGCAACCTTAGCAAAGCATCCTGCGCAAACGGGTGAACATTGCCTTTCAAAACATTTAAAAATGTATCGAATGGCGTTCCTCGGATTGTTCCAAACTCAGACACTTCAAAACCTTTTGGAAGGCTGTAAAGTTGTTACACCATAACCCACCCGTCCCCGACCATACAGCTGAGGGTGATGACGCAAGGCAATCTGCATCTCCTGTGCAGAGATTGGAGACTGGAGAGCTCACAAACGCCCAATCTAGCATCGGTGAAAAGCATTATTCTCAAGAACTCGATGCCAAATCTTCCAAACCTGTAACAGGTGCCTTACTAGTAGTAACAAGAAGCTATTGGAAACAAGTGCCTTACTAGTAGTAACAGGTGCCTTACTAGTAGTAACAATGTATTGAAAACCATGTGATGTTTCAGGTCAAATGCCTTGTCCCCCAGCGAACACGAAAATGATGTTGACATGATGTTGACTCTCTAGGATCAAGTGGTTGTCAGACTCAACACATTCTTTTCGTTGGGATTGCAGAAATTCATCAGGTTTGGCCAGGGAACATAGTTTAGAACATGCTCAGCAAACAATTGTTCCAGTGTCTTAGACATGTTCGAAGGTGTTTGTGAACCTTTTAAACTGGAGCATGCTGGCACTATCCGCAAGCCCTGCGAATCTTACAGTCACGGTTCGCAAGCACCTGTCCGAAAGAGTCTTCAATAAAGCCTCCACCTTGGTACACAGGGTGAGCTAGGACAGTGTTTAAGCCAGGAAGCATCGGTAGACCATACGCGGGAGGAGTGTTGGGAAAATCCAGAAGAAGTCGTCAAACTGTGGTTCACAAGCAGTCTTGCCGCTCATCCTGAGCACGCTCCCCTTCCTCTAGGGTCGCTGCTCCATTCTCGTCCTTTCCGGAAGACCTCAGGCAAGCGAGCACCTTCAGAGCGCTTCAGACTCAGCAGTGAGGTCCGTGTGACCCAAACATGTCAGAACCCGATCCCCAACCGTTACCCCTGTAAAGACCACAAAAGAACGGCCACCTCACAAGATCGGCACTTCCAAGTAAAAGCCAGAGTGGCTCACCCTGGGGCAGGTACCAGATCCTTGTAATGCTCCACGCTGCAAATGTGTGCTGAGTCGTACCTCGCATTGAGGTTCATGTATCCAAACCATGGGTGGCTAGCAAGGTGCAACCCATGCAGGCACAGACTGACGAATATGATGGTGCCTTCATATGTACATCTACCTGTAACAGGGCTCTTGGGACTCTTGGGTCTTCAAAGCGGAGGAGGGGGGCTGGCTGGAAAGGAATCATCAATCTAATCTGATCTGTCCTTTTGTGTCGATTTGTTGTTTTGGGTTTATTGAGTTCCTAGTAGCTACTTGCTCCTAGTAGTACGGCCAGGAGCCCCTAGTAGCGTCCTTGTTCCTATGTTGATTTCTTGTTTATTGAGTTTTGCTTTGTCTAGTCCAAGGCTTGCGGGGTGGCACCAGAAGAGGAGGGGTCGAAGCACCCTATCCGACGTATCCTTCAGTTGCAAGACCTGCCCACCGTGGCATGACGGTAGATTCGCCACAGGGATTTGAGAAGAAAAAAACAACAAAACATGTTGAAAGGTCACAACTCACAACACAAATTTGTCAATCTCAAACTGCGACAACTCAAAGAAAAAATGTTGATAGTCATCCAGTGATCTGGAAATTCCTAAGGAATGGCCGCTTGCGTACGGTGCAATACAAACCTCTGATCCACCATCGGGATGCTTATTTCCAGCCGACTGTGCTAGCTCATTGGATGCTTCGACATACTTTCCGAGGTTTTTGGTTCAAAAAAACAGACAACCAACACTCTGTGTTGGTAGGCTTGGCAGGGAGAAGGTTGTGCAGGGAGAAACACTTGCGTCACATGCACGGAAACTGTGTCCTGGTGAACTATCAAACCCAAATCATCTTGCTGATTTCTACCTCATGAAAAACAACACAACTTTTTCGACGTTGACGAGACTTGGCCACGTCGGATTGGCACTCTCTGGTCCTCCACCCTGTCCGAGCGCCTCTGGACGGATGCGCCAAGAACTTGCCTCAGACACATGGTTGTGGAGAAAGCACGACGGCCAAGTCCGAGTTGATGACGAAAAGCTTCGAAAGAACATGTTAAGCGGTGACAAAAACAGCGCAAGGCTAGCCAGCGCAGACAAGTTAAGGCGAGTTTAGAAAAGAAAGCGTTGAGACCTCATGACAAGATGGGAGACAAACCACAAAAAGTTATAAGAAGGACCAAGTTGTTAAAAGGTGAAAGAAATGCAAGAAACGAGGGAAACAACAAGAAAAAGGCAAACCAGTGGTGGCAAACCTTTCATCTCGAATGCCAGTAGCTCCACGGCACCGATGTGAATGCAGTGACGACATGGGCATGCAAAGTATGTGCAAACGGCCTCTTCGTCTGAAAGGCGCAATCGTTTGAACAAAAATCAGACCATCCGATATGTGAAATGAGAATGCATGATCGCTCATGCTCAAATGCAATCATGAGTGACGTTCACTGACAACCGTAAGTAGATAAGGTCCAGCGGAAGAATGGAAACACGGGGAATTTCAGACCTGAATGTGGAGCCAAAATTTCAGACCTCGAGAAGACTTTAGTCTTAGCTATGGTTTCATCAGTTTCGGCCTTGTAGAACTGGTGGCACTGAAGGCCCAGCCCAGGTGCTTGGTCGGTTCTGAGGCTGCCAGCTAGGTACTCTTCCGACGTGCGTGCCAAGCTGGCCTCGACTTACTTGGTCATCTGATGCCATCTGGGCTATCTCCAAACAATGAAAGAGGATTTAAATGTTCGATGATTCTTGGTACCGAAAATGAAAACGCTCCAGAATTGGGGAATGGAATTGCAATTAAATGCACACAAAAGAGGGACTAACTAGAATCTAGGCAAGGTTATCCCTCGAGGCTGTGATAGACATTTACAAAATTCTGCTGGCCAAAGCACCTTTGTCGGAAGCCCCAGATATTTCACTCCAAAATGCTCCATGGCCTGTGGCATCAGGCAAAAGCATAAAAAAATAGAGAAGAATGGCAAGATCACATCTGCGAACGGCTTCACAAGCGCTAAATTCATCTGCAAACGACATCAAAATTTCTAAACAGAAGCTACTAGTAACAAGGGCACCGCTACTGGTAACAAGGGCATTACTACTAATAGCTAGAAGCTACTAGTGACAAGGGCATCGC